GTCAGAAATAAAGCCTGAAATGCAAGAAAGAATATAAATAAATTGACAATTCTGAGAAAGGTAAACTCCTGAAGCTCTTCTTTATTCTTCAAACTTTCCACACCATTTATTGTCACAATTTTTCCATCATAAATTAATAGTTAATGTCTTACTGGTTTTTTTGAGAGTAAAAAAGTCAGAATTGTTACACAGGATATCAGAATTGTAAAAAAGTCTGAATTGTGAGATAAAAATGTTTAATAAAATGTAAATAAAATATTAAACTAAATCAAAGAAAATGACAGTATTGAGATTCATAATTAAGTATAATGTAATCAAAAAAGTAAGACTAGGGAAAAGTTTGTTTTAAAGTAAATTTTTACAAATTTTACATGCTATTTCAGTTTTTCGGTATTTGTAAAATCTACAAACAATTTCAGAGTAAACAATCTGTCAGACATAATGCAAGTCAGACATAATGCAAATATATAGTAATGCATAAAGTCAAGAAGGTCCCATAAATCTCCATAACACCTGAGAATTGTATGTATTGTAGTTTGTCAACCCAAAATGCTGTGTGTGTGTCTCTACCCAGGAGGTTTGGACAATGCACATGTGAAATCATTAGCCATTAGAGAGGCATTTAAAGAGAGCGTGTCTGTTTATTCCAGATGTTTATACCAGCAGTATGATGATGAAACCACAATACATATATTTAATTCATCCAAATGCAATGCTAGAATTAACAAAGAGACGAACAAAACAATGAGACTTGCACGCAAAGTAAAGCTAACAAATGTGCATTTATCTTAATATAATAACATGCACATGCATGCACTCTGTTGCTTTTCTGCCTCTTTGTTCATTCCAAACGTAACAGATTTTTCACAGATGTTCTGTAAAAATGATTGCAGCTTGCAGGCCGGTTTTCCTTTAAAACAACTGTGGCACACTTACATTTACTGAAGTCATCAGAGGAGCGCCGTGTGTCTGAAAGCTAGTGATCTTTTTTACCTGTCATTACCTGCTTGTCAGGTGTTTCGAACCAGTGATAAAGAACCAGACTGCTAATCAAGCTCAATGCTGTCTGTTCCCCCTGCTGTTATACACTCTTAAAAACCCGGACACCCACATACTTAAAATACACACCATCCTGGCTTGTATTTCTGGCACTCTGTGTTGTTAAGAGCGAGACTCTGTTGACTGAGTAATTGTCTGTGTTTGCATAAGGGACAAAATAGCAGTCACGGTGTCAAATGGCTGGTCAGTCACTTGTTATTTAAAGGCAAAGAGTGTAATAACGCCAGTATACTTAGATACTGTTATCTGACAGTGTTTGTTTGTGGGTGTATTTGCAGCTTTACACTAGTATTATTCACTGCAGATGCTCATGGCAGACATAAGTGTAGATTTGGGAGGCGGCAGTGGGAACAGGGTGGACTTGTCCTTCAGTCAGCTGTTTTATGCTTTCTGTCTTTTCTCAAATGTGTCGCAAATGTGAATTTTTGCCTGTTTTCTTCACCAAGTTGTAAGTCTGATTGTGTGGAAAATATACTGTCTTCCACAAAATCCTCACAGTTTGACAGGCATATTATGTTTTGTTTCCAAGACTATGTCTACACTAATCCTGATAAATTGGACTATGTCATTCACCATGTTAGCTAAATTGGTCACATGACTAAAATGCATCATAGTTTTCAAAAGCTTCAGTTTTCACAGTCCATACCTACATAGCAAAATTTCTCAGGCCCAGCTCTAGCCCACAAAATCAGCAATTGGTTGGCCCAGATGCCACAGTGAATTATGATGCATAACTAGACCAGGTCTAGCCTCTAGACAAGGGCCAAACATGGACCATATCTGGGCCCAGTCTTAGCCAAGTTAATAAACCATGACTGGGCCTGAACTCCGGAATTACAGCAATGAAACTGATAAACCCATGATGCATTGCAGTTTAGGTGCGCTATGGGCGTTTTTTTTTTTAAGCGACCTGGTTGTTAGAATTTTTTTCTTTATTCAAAAATAACTCAAATGTTTTTTAAATGTGGGTCAAAATAGGCCAAACTTATCTGAGCCAAATACTACTTTTGACATCTGACCTAAGTCTTGTGTGCTGCTTTAAGGACGGTGTCACCTCTGCCAAAACTGGGCCATGATTGGCCCACATGCTGCACGCCAGTGCCAGATGAACACCTGCTGTGCCAGCTTTATGCCAAATCTGGGCCAGAATTCTTTGCTGTCTGGGAATTGTGACGCAAATATGCCATTTGCAAATGTATCCACTTTGGACTATGTTTTCAAAATAATATATTATCATTAACTAAAATGTTGTCTCAGTGTGGACGGAAGGCCAAAATGGAGAAAAATATATGCGTTTTTAAAAAAAAAAAAAACATGGCCCAATCTAATCTGCAAGGTTGGGGTTATAGTACAGTATGTTGCTCATTCATTACTGTTTCCACTGGTAATAAAAGGGTGGAGCTAGACTCACTAAACGCTATTGGTTTACACTGAATCATCACTTGCTCATGTAACAAGCCAGGGGAACGTCAACACAAGAGGTGCCATTTTTAAATACACAGCCAAAACACGACACTGTGATAATACAATGATGGTGCACAGTAATGAACCAGGTCATGAGCTCAAACAAAGTTTTTCTCTTCTTATGACAAAGAACAAGAACAGGATCTTCTGTATGTCCTCCATTGTTGTTTATGCAGCTGTTCACGTCACATTTCTCAATTTGTGTACACTTGCCACTCATCCACTTTTGAAATAATGAACTTAAACACACAAAAGATGCAATATTTTAATCACCCATAGCAGTTTTCATCTTTAAAGAAAAATGACTTCGATTGAAGCTTTTGGGCAAATGCCTGCCCAGTAAAGAGTACTGTTGGCAGTGAAAATGCAGACTTGATTAGAGTGATCTGTACCTAATCGTACTGTACTGTGCTGTACTTTCCTGAGTCATACTGCCTCATGGAAATGAGGCATAAATATCAGCAGAATAATGCTGGAGTTACATGACAAAGTTTAAATCAATTTAATACATATAGTTCTTTAAAATTCATGAGATTTTGGTATTTGATTTGGTATTTGAGATTTGGTATTTGCATCATGCTCGAATACTGAATTTCTACATGATTGCTGAAAGGTGTTCATCATGTTTTTTTGGGTGATTTTAAGTGGTTTCTAACTGAATAATGTGACATTCCGGCAACTAGATATGACTCAGGTCCTTATTCTGCTTTACCTTTATGGGATGATGCCTGTTTTAACCACCAAGTAAAAAAAACATATGAATAGCTTGAGGTGCCATGATGCCTATCTTTGTAAAATATCTACACATCAAAACAGCTAAAATTTTCTGTCCCCCTATTTGTACTTGATAGAAAATACAATTAGAAAGATAATAAATACTAGAACATTGGAAATAATCCTTGTTTTGTCCTGTTTCACAAACATACTGTTGTACACTGTAAACATTTTTGCTGCCTTACATTTTTTAGTTAAATTAAATTTTAAACTTACAACAATCAAACAGACTAAAAATATGAAGTATGAAAACTTGGCATAACATATCAAATTAAATCATTTGTTAAAACCTGAATAATTTTTCTTTTTTTAAAATAAGTAAAACAACATCAAAATATTTGTTGTCTTGACTTTTTGGTCATTACATATTTAGTGTATTACTTGTTTTAGGCCCAAACTTATTTGGTCAAGTTTTAGGCTTCAAATCAATTAAATAATACAATTGAGTTTTGTCGCGGTGGCGCAGTGGGTAGCTCAGCAGAAAAGGTCGCTGGTTTGAGTTTCAGCTGGGTCAGTTGGCATTTCTGTGTGGAGTTTGCATCCTCTCCCTGTGTTCGCGTGGGTTTCTTCCGGGTGCTCCGGTTTCCCCCACAAGCCCAAAGACGTGTGGTATAGGGGAATTTGGTAAGCTATATTGTCCATAGATTGTCCATAGTGTATGTGTTTGAATGAGTGTGTATGGATGTTTCCCAGTCATGGGTTGCAGCATGAAGGGTAAAACATATGCTGGTTAAGTTGGTGGTTCATTCCGCTGTGGTGACCTCAGATTAATAAAGGGACTAAGCCGAAAAGAAAATGAATGAATGATAAGGAGTCTATAACGCTAACAGGACAAAAGAACAATATCTTTTGAATCACAAACAGCCTTAAAAAATTGACTTGTTATAGTGTTGTAGTTGAACAAATTTAAAAATATGGTATGTAAGTAAATGTCTATAACTGTACAGTAAAAATCTGAAGATACACAGCAGTTGGATTTTATTTCTGGTAAAGGTGGGGTGAGGAAATGTGCATGTGTGTGTGAATGTGACGACTGAGGTGATGTCAATATTTGTTGGTTCTTTCCCACACGCTTTCACTGCAGAGACCCTGTGCTGCGCACTGGAGGTTTCCACTGGCTCAGCCAAACAGCCCTGACTCAACTGAGGACACTGTGTGTGTTTGTGTGCTTGTGTCAGTGTTTACATGTGATCGCCACAAACCACAAGTAGTAATGCTGGGAAAACTCACTGTTATGTCACAGCATTTGTATGTTTGTCACTTTTAATTTAGTCAAACTATGTATTAGTTGCTTAAATGTTGCAAAGCATGCTACGCTAGGCTGTTTGAATGCTAATATAAAACTTAGACAATACGTCTTTTATGTCTCACAAGCTGGTGTTGGCAAGCTATTGCTAAGTGCCTCACTTTCTTGCAAGCCAATAACCTTGCATGAGGAATTTATCTGCCCTAGGAATACAGCACTAGCTGCTCGCTAGCACTGTGAAATAGCACTTTTGGCATCTTCGTGTGAATTTTAATATTCTGATCAAGCTCTGCCACAAGTCTAGAAGGAAATGCTAACTGGAAACACATTGCTGGGTATATCCACCCTTGCCTGAGGGACGCATAGAGCCTTCGGTGCTCCTGATGAGCAGCTGTTTTTGGAGATGCTCTTGTTTATGTGAAAATAAAAGTACAATCTCTCTTGTCATTTCTTGAAGGGCTGCAACAGACCATAACGTGGACAACAGCACAGCCATGCTGAGAGAGTGGCTGAAGAACAGGCAGAGCAGATATCACTATGTGGAGTGGAGGCCCATGGAGGAGCCACGGTTGGTTGAAAACATCTTGTTCCAAAACAGATCAATAAGCACTAATCAAATCACTTCCAATCCAATTAGCACTAATAGCTGTTTATGTCAGGACTTTGTGGCAGTTTTTCTGAATTAAAGCATTTCCAGAAGAAGGATTAAATAAGTGTGTTTGCTCTGTTGACATTTATTCACCTTCCTATTTTTTCCAGTATTAATATACTCTCATTGGCCACTTTATTAGGTACACCTTACTAGTACAGGGTTGGACCACATTTTGCCTTCAGAATAGCCTTAATCCTTCATGGCATAGATTCAACAAGTTACTAGAAATATTTCTCAGAGATTTTGCTCCAGTTTCCCAGAGATTGCAGCCGGAAAAGCATCCACTGCGTAAAAACAAATGCTGGATAAGTTGGCGGTTCATTCCGCTGTGGCGACCCCAGATTAATAAAGGGACTAAGCCAAAAAGAAAATGAAGGAATGAGATTTTGGTCCATATTGACATGTTAGCATCACACAGTTGCTGCAGATTTGTTGGCTCCACATCCATGATGTAAATGTCCTGTTCCACAACATCCCAAAGGAAAAAATCCCAGTAAATCATCAGTTTAGCCTGTCTTGCACTAATAACCATGCAACATTCAAAGTCACTTAAATTACCTTTCTCCCCCATTCTGATGCTCAGTTTGAACTGTAGCAGATCATTTGAACATGTCTACATGCCGAAATGCATTTAGTTGGTGCCATGTGATTAACTGATTCGAAATTTGCATTAACGAGCAGTTGGACTGTTGTACCTAATAAAGTGACCGGTAAGTGTATAAAGTGGAAATATTTGTGTACCTAACAGTTTAAACAAACATGCAAAAGAAGTGTCATTAAACACTATATTTTGAGACTTTTGAACTCAAAAAAACTTGTAATGTAACTGTAATACAATTAATGAGAAAAAAGGCCATGTATTATTATAGGATTTTAAACCTGTATTTAACCTTAGAATGATTTCAAATTAAAAGTGTCTGATTTTGTCTGTCGTTTAAATTTAAAGGATTATAATCTTATTTAAGTGATTAAGGATTTGGAAAGTCTGACAGTAATCAGTGTTGAGTACTGCTGTAAGGTTAATCCTGCCAGGTTTAAATGTTTTGACGATGGACTGTTGGAAACATTCAATAGAAATTTAGTAAAGTAAATAATGCTGTCTGATCCCAACAAATGTAGTGTTCTTTAACTAAAATATACTCAGAATTAACACAAAGTGTTGTCGATATTTATCTAGGACAAATTATTTTAATATGAATGTAACATTTTCTAATCATCTAATTAAACAATTAAATTTAATTTTTCGATTTTAATTTGATATCAATCGATATTCATCGATATTTATTTGTTTATTTGTTTATTAAGGTCATACACAGATGAGTGGGGGCCAAAACACTGGTCTTCGTCTCGTGTCAGTCATGTAATGAAGCTCAGACAGGCAGCATTAAAGGCTGCAAGAGCTCGCTGGGCTGATTATATACTGGTGAGTTCACTCTGTCATTATTGTCATGACTTACTTGATTATGGTGCATCTAATACAGCAGTGTTAATATAAAAACACAAGTACTAATACCCAATAATTTCATCATTTCTCTTTCTTTTTCTCCCAGTATGTTGACAGTGATAACCTGCTGACCAACCCACGGGTGTTGAATCTTCTGATGGCAGAGAACTTAACCCTAGTGGCGCCCATGCTGGATTCAAGATCGCTTTACTCAAACTTCTGGTGTGGCATCACACCTCAGGTAAAACTCAGTCACCTCAGAAAAGAAACTGACCAAAAAAAAATGTTATTCATCATTTATTCACCTTCATGTTATTGCAGTAATTTCTTCTGTGGAACATAGAAAAACTTTTGAGTTTTTAATTCATACCATGACAAAAGGCACTTTTTGGTCCTCAAAGGTCCTTTTGGGTGTAAATCTAGATATAAGCATATAGCTGATTAATAAGTTCATCACTAAGTCATGGAAATAACACACGGTGAGCCTTAAACACCATTGTTTGTTTTCTAAAAAAGAGGCCAATTGGTACAAACTACAGACTCTGATGATCCACCTGGGTATATAAATATGCACACCCCAGGCTGTGTGCGATTGGCTACATCGTTAATAAGTGAGATTATAGCAATGATACCCCCCCCCCCCCCACCCCTTATTTGTAAGTTTATCTAAGCTTTTATTAAACATAGGATGTATTTGAGACTCTTATTTTGAAATCTGCAGAGACAGGGAGATTAAAAATTAGCAGTTTTGTGAGGCAAATGTTTATAATATTTATAATAAAAATCTGTTATATAATGTATAAATTAATAAATTTATTGATATATTATTAATTTATATCAGCACTACCCAAAGAGCCTTAGGGTTCGTTTAAATATATCTTGTGTTAATTTTACATGTATATTGTGAAAATTGCTAAATATATTTGTGAGGCAATAAACATATGTAAACTAAATAAGTGTTCAATGCATCGTTTTATATCACTCAGCTCTTGTTGTCATTTTCTTAAGTGATAGGACGCGAATAAACTAAATTAAATAAACTAAATAAATAAACTAAAATAAATTTTGTATTTATGTCTGTGTTTTCATATTCATTAAAGCTTCAAAATACAATTTATGTACATCTCTGTCTTTCCCTTTTGTCAAATATTTTGATAATTTAGCCTAAATTTCTTCCTAAAAACAACTCAGGACCAAACTGCTGTGCACAAAATGCTTTCAAACGTAAACATTCATTCATCATTCATATTGATTATGTTCAATACATTAATAGCCTGACCTTTCCGACTTTCTCTCAGGGTTATTACAAGCGTACCCCAGACTACCAGCCTATCCGTGAGTGGAAGCGTTTGGGCTGTTTTTCAGTTCCCATGGTTCACTCCACCTTCCTGCTGGATCTGAGACGCAGTGCCACACTGGACATGGCCTTCTACCCGCCTCACCCGGACTACAGCTGGGCATTTGATGACATCATGGTGTTTGCATTCTCTGCGCGAGAAGCTGGTGAGAAACTCGTTTAACAGCAGTTCGTTAAAAAGTTTTTTCTCAATTATGATGACATAAAAATAGGACGTAATTCAAAATAATTTAATTACATTTATTTTCTGGAGACGCGGTGGCGCAGTGGGTAGCTCTTTTGCCTCACAGCAAGAAGGCCGCTGGTTCAAGCCACGGCTGGGTCAGTTGGCATTTCTGTGTGGAGTTTGCATGTTCTCCTCGTGTTTGCGTGGGTCTCCTCTGGGTGCTCGGGTTTCCTTAAGTTCAAAGACATGCAGTACCGGTGAATTGGGGCTAAATTGAATGGATGTTTCCCAGTGATGGGTTGCAGCTGGAAGGGCGTCCGCTGTGTAAAACATATGCTGGAGAAGTTGGCGGTTCATTGCACTGTAGCGACCCCTGATGAATAAAGGGACTAAGTCGAAGGAAATTGAATGAATGTATGTTCTTAAAGCATTTGTAAACTTTGATCCCTTACTAAAACAATATTAAAACAAAATGTATTTCTATCTCATCTATCTTCTATATGCGTTATGAAGGATCATCTTTCATAAATAACCTATAAATAATTAAAATATTAAATGATATATATTATCATTCTGTTACAATACAAATGAGCTTGAACAAAAGAACACTTCTCTTTTACTCTTTAATACTACTATATTTATTATAAACAATGTTAAATTTATATTTATTAATGTAAAATCTATTAAATGTATAAATGTTAAAGTAAACATTTAAAAAAATATCAATTTATTCGGCAAAATATGTTACAAATGTGTTAGTGTAAAGGAAAATGAACATTAAGATAGATGCAGGTCATTATACTTAATATATTATACATTATGACAGATTTTATGGCATTATTTAAGTGTATGAGTTTTTTGTTTAAAGGAGCACAGAATTTTTAAGCACAGAATGTTTCCAGAGCACATGTGTTCGCTGTTTTTTTGGGGTCAAAAACAGACACGGATCAGAGCATAACACACAATTCACTGCTCCTCCATCTGTCCAGCTCCGGTATATATCACTGAGGAGATTTTATTTTGCTAGTGTAACAGCTTTAATGTCGGATAATCTTGTGGCTAATATAACCAGCCCCAGCTGGGCGTTTTTATGGCTTCTCTGGGTGTTTGTGGATATCCCACTGAGGGAAATAATGTGAGCGAGAGAAAGGGCATGCAGAGAAACTACAGTAAATCCAGCAAACACACAACCAACACAAAGACGACAAAGCCATGGTTCCAAACACACCCAGAACTGCACCAAACCACACGAACACATCAGTGATGCAACACTTCATGTTTCTAATTGTGTGGAGAGATGATTACAGGGTACATGGGATTATGTCAGATATCACTGTTTGCGTGCACATTTATTTTATGAAGCGTCTGTGGTTTTTTAGGTGTACAGATGTATGTGTGTAACAGAGAACATTACGGGTTTCTGCCTGTCCCTCTGAAGGCCCAACAGAGTGTTGAAGATGAAGAGGAGAGTTTCACACACACCATCACTGAGGCCATGAGTGAGTATTAACACACGTTATACATATGAATATGTCTATTATAGAAATGCAAAATGACATACGCATGTGTATGATGTTTGCTTTGAGTTTTTCCAAATATATCCACACTTTGGAGAAATTGGATGACAGTCTTTCTAAAACATTTCAGGAGACGATGGGTGTATATATAAAACTTTGTGCTTCTGTTTTAATCAAGTGGTAAAAATACCGCATTCCTCAAACTAAATAAAGTGTTTAAGGATGAATATTAAAAGCAACATTATTCAAAATTAAGGCTGAAGTTAAGAAATTACAGAAATAATAGTTATTTTTGACATTATTGTGTACATCAAAAGCAGCTTGTTTCCGTGCATCTCCCATCCTCGCATATCATAACAGATGCTCAGTATTTAGTATTTAAATGTTCAATCTGATTGAGGTTTTACAGTACCAATCAATCTGGTGTGGGTTTTCCAAACAACAGCATAACTCATGGATTAAAAACCATAGTATGATTATAAACAGTGTACTTTAAAGTATTTCCTAAACTCTGTCAGAATGGAGCCAGATCAGTCTAAAACAAATACATTTACAAAATATAATGCATACATCCACAACACAATTTACATTAACAAAATACAATTCGTATTTATAAATACACTAATTCAATTTGTAAATTCACAATTCGATTCATAAATAGACTTATCCAATTCATAAATTCAAAACATGATTCATAAATACACAAATCCAATTAATAAATTCAAAACATGATTCATAAATACACAAATCCAATTAATAAATTCAAAACATGATTCATAAATACACAAATCCAATTCATAAATTCAAAACATGATTCATAAATACACAAATCCAATTAATAAATTCAAAACATGATTCATAAATACACAAATCCAATTCATAAATTCAAAACATGATTCATAAATACACTAATCCAATTTATAAATTCTTTAGAATGATCTAGCTCCATATGTCACAGACCCATCATTTGAATCATGCTAGTTCAAACTTAAAACCTTTGTAATGACGCTCCTCAAAGATGTGGAGTTTAAATTTAAATCATATAAAAAATACATACAAAATACATACAAATAAAATCTATGACAGAAGCTTTCTTAAAGTTCAACAAAACTTTTTATAATTGTTTCACACACAATATTTAAACATAAAAAAATGTATATAAATGAACCATCAAACCACTCATACTATATATCTACAGTATCTATATACTGTTCACTCATCGGCCACATTATTAGTTACACCTGTCCAACTGCTCCCTAACGCAAGTTTCTAATCGGCCAGTCAGATGGCAGCAACTCAATGCATGTAGGCATGTAGACATAATCAAGACAATCTGCTGCAGTTCAGACCGAGCATCAGAATTTGTATCTTTATTGGAATGATGGATTTAAGAAACCAGCAAGCTATGTTTGTATCTACATAACTCGCAATTGGCTAAAGTTGGTTTTACACACTCCATATTAGTAATGGATTATTTGAGGCATGTAAAGTTAGCCAAACACACAAACACATCATGAAACACACCCATAGCCACTGCCCCTAATAAACCACCCTTTTTCCATCACTTTAATGCTTTTTAACTTTATATTTTCAACCTCAGTCAACTGGAGTTTTTATTAAAGCTTTATGTTCCATGGTGTAATTGTCAGAAGTGCATTTCAAATGTCTTTTCTTGCAGTCGATCATAACATAAAACCCTCCGAGTTCCTCTTCACTCCAAGCAAACCTCAGGACAAGATGAGCTTTGATGAGGTGAGAGAGCAGAATCTCTGGAATGTCTTGCATGACTGGAGACTCATGATAGCAGAAACTCAAAGCTACTTCAAAGTGACATTTCGTCTCGATTTGTTCCTCCAATGCTCTTGTTCTTTTATTTCACCTCAGATCTTCTTGATTAATCTGAAGCGGAGGTTCGACCGAAGGGAACGGATGTTGAACACTATGGCAGTTCTGGGTCTTGAGGCGACGCTGGTTGATGCCGTCGATGGGAAGTAGGTCATCAAATGGACAATTTGTGGCATCCTGTTTATTTTGGGGTTTTTTGAAATGTGTCAGAACTGGTCATGTGAAAGCGCTTCAGACTTTGTTTGTTTACTCTCAGGACTTTGAACACATCTCAGCTTCAAGCTCTTGGTATAGAAATGATGCCAGGGTATAAAGATCCGTATTCTGGTCGAGTTTTGACACGTGGAGAGATCGGCTGTTTCCTCAGTCACCACTTCACCTGGAAACAGGTACACACACACTCATGAATAGATATGCTGCACTTTACATTAAAAATGGCTGACTCTAAATAACTCTAAATATTTTAGAATCTCTGTGTAAAACTATTTAACACATCTAATGTATCTAATTATCACAACACAGTTTTAAATGTTTACAGATAATGGTTTAAAAAGTGGACTGAATAGTTTAAATTATCTTTACCTATTGGGTTTTACAGTGTAGCATCTGTTTTATTAAAGTTTTAGTAGTTTTACTAAAGATATAATTTATTAATTTAATTTAAATGTATCAAATGGAACTGACATTTCAAAACTCAAATTATGCTCAACATATATTATATTATATTATATTATATTATATTATATTATATTATATTATATTATATTATATTATATTATATTATATTATATTAATTATATATTATTTTATATTAGTAAATTGGTTTCTTCAAATGGTTTTGAGTTTACTTTGGTTTTGAAGTGTACTGACCACATTCTAATACATTTTATCTTCTATTAAAACAAAAAATTTCAAAAGCCAAATCATATTCTGCATTTATTTTAAGTAGTTTTAAGGTGTATGGTGTGTGTTTATTTGATAGGTGTTGGAAAGAGGTCTGCGGCATGTACTGGTGTTGGAGGACGATGTGAGGTTTGAGCCTCGCTTTAAAAGAAGGTTACAGACCATCATGAAAGATGTTGAAAAAACTCAGTTGAACTGGGACCTCATGTAAGAACGCCAGAAAAGCACAAAGTCAAACCTTATCAAAGCTCACGAGAACCCAGTTGATCTCCATCTCTCCTTGGTTTTCTCCACAGATATGTTGGCCGTAAGCGGATGCAGGTGGCTCAGCCGGAGGTGTCTGTAGAAGGTGTAAATAACCTGGTGGAGGCCGATTACTCATACTGGACTCTAGGTTATGCTCTCTCACAACAGGGGGCCAAGAAACTCCTTGCTGCCCAGCCGCTTGGCAAGATGCTCCCTGTGGATGAGTTCCTGCCAGTCATGTTCAACAAACACCCAAAGTAAGCCAGATGGATGGTTGAAAGAGTAATCAAGAGATGGTTAATAGACGAATGAGTGACAGATAGATAGATAGATAGATAGATAGATAGATAGATAGATAGATAGATAGATAGATAGATAGATAGATAGATAGATAGATAGATAGATAGATAGATAGATAGATAGATAGATAGATTAATTGATCAGTTAATCAATGTATGGAATGTTAAATAAAATGGATTGATGGTTGGTGGGTAGCAAAGTGGTCTCACTGCAAGAAGGTTGCTGGTTCGAGGCCCAACTGTGCCAGGTGGCATTTCTTTGTAAAGTTTGCATGTTCTCCCAGTATTCACATGGGTTTCCTCTGCAAATATAGGTGAATTGGATAAACTAAATGGCGGTAGTGAATGAGTGGGTATGAATGAGAAAGTGTTTGGGTGTTTTCCAGCACTTGGGGTTCACAGGTTGACTGCATCCCCCACATAAAAACACATACCAGAGTAATTGGTAGTTCATTCAGAGACTAAGTGAGTAATAGAGGGATGTTGTTTGGTTAACCGATAGATAAAACTGATGGAGGGATCGACAGATTAATTGATTGACTGACAGACAAAAGGATGGAGAAACAGATGGATAAATGGATCAATCTATCAATGGGTGGATGGGTCGTCTAATCAGTATCAATTAATGATAGATTGATAGAATAATGGCCCATTATATGGATTGATAGTGTATGAAGGAATCAGACTATTGATAGATTGATTGAAAACATGATGATGGATATAGGAAAAGGTGGATAAATGGATCTATCTATCAGTGGGTGGAAGGGTCGTCTAATCTGTAAAGGGACTCTGCATTAAATTTGAATGGATGGATTATTGAGTGGATGGATTACTAGAAAAAAAAGATGGATGTATGGATCATTTAATGATAGACTGATAGAATAATGGCCCATTATATGGATGGATAGTGTATGAAGGAATCAGTCTATTGATTGATTGATTGATGCACAGACAAAATAATGATAGATGGAGGAACAGGTGGATAAATGGATCTATCAATGGGTGGATGGATTAATCAGTAGAGGGATTTCATATCAATTGGAGGGATGAATGAATGAGTGGATGGATGGATAAATGGCTGGATCTATCACTAGAAAAAAGGATGGATTACTTAATGATAGATTCATAGAATAATGGCTCATGAAGGAATCAAGCTATTGATTAATTGATTGATTGATTGATTGATTGATTGATTGATTGATTGATTGATTGATTGATTGATTGATTGATTGATTGATTGATTGATTGATTGATTGATTGATTGATTGACAAAAGGATGGATAGAGGAACAGATGGATAGACAAAAAGATAGATGGGTGGATGGATAACTGGACATAATGGATGGATGGATCAATTAATGATAGACAGATAGAATAATGGCTCATTGTATGGAATGATAGTGTATGGATAATGAAGGAATAAATTGATTGATTGATATTTTGATTGATTGATTAATTAATGCACAGACAAAATGATGATGGATGGAGCAACAGATGAATAAATGGATCTATCTATCTATCAATGGGTGGATGGATTAATCAGAGGGACTCTCGTATCAATTGGAGGGATGAATGAATGGGTGGATGGATAACTAGAAAGAAAGATGGATGGGTGGATAGATTACTACACAATAGATAGATGGATGAATGGGTGGATGAATTACTAGAAAAAAGGATGGATGATTAAATTATGATAGATTCATAGAATAATGGATGAGGGATCTATAGATAGTGTGTGTATAATGAAGGAATCAAGCTATTGATTGACTGACCGATTGACTGATCAACTAGTGTCAACTAATCTACAGAAAGATGGATTGATTTTCCATTTAAGAATCAATTGACAGATGTAAAGATGGATGGCTAAACGTTTTGCAGCAGTGTTTAAACCAGTACACACTGAGGTTGTGCTGCTGAGTGTTTCAGACAGTGCTAGATTGTTCAGATTGAGTAGAAAAGTACAGTGTCCCTGCAGGGTCACACAATGACTGGTTTTCTACCTCATTTTCTCTAGTGGGAGTCCTGCATGCTTTGGTTGTGCTCTCAGCCTGTCATTCTTACTGGCTTTTCTCTCTCTCCAAATACCCTCAGTACCCTGCGGTCCTACTCCTCTGTTGTCTTGCATTCTCCGGGTTCCCTTTTCTCTCTCTCTTCATACTTTGAGGAATTTTGGGAAGGGCCAGTTCTTCCTGCTGCCGGCTTTAGAGGGACAAAATTCCCATTGATAAAGTTTTGGGGGAAGGGTCATTGGCATAAGACAGATGGATTACTGTATAAATATACTCCACTTTCTCTGTGTTTGTGCGTGAGAGAGAGAATGAGTCATTGTGTTACCCTTTGTTTGTGTATATAGACTTGTATTAGCATAAATTATGGTGAATAATGCAATATTTCCTGGACCAATGTTGAGTAGACATATAGAAGTTTTATAGCCAAAGACATTATCAGACCAATCAATGATACCAACCAATTGAACAATGTTAATATTAGGATTTTACATCGTTTTATTTGAAATTATAACATGAAAAGGTTTCAAGTCAGTGTTTTTAGACATTTTTTTCACTATAAGCTGCTTTTCAATTACAATTAGCTTTCATTAGGGTATTAAAATGTTAGGTTAGAGTTAGTAGTAGAATTAGGTAATATGTAGTTTCTTATAGTCTGTAGGGGCTCATCAAAATAAAGTGTTACCAAAGTAAGTGTAAAAAGAATATCTAATTAATAATGAGATCCTCCAAAAGTTTTTTCTTTTCCACCTATTTGTAATTTTCTCACGACCTTGCTTTTGCTCCCACTCATACTCTTTTTTTTTCTCTCTCTTAGTTCTGCATACATGTCTCACTTTGATCCCAGGGATCTGCGTGCTTTCTCTGTTGAGCCATTGCTGCTGTACCCAACACACTATACGGGTGAGCCTGGCTACTTCAGCGACACAGAGACATCCACTATTTGGGATGACGAGTCCGTCAACACCGATTGGGACAGACAATACGCACAAAAAACTGCCCAGCAAGCACAAATTCGCTCCGTTGCTCAGAACAGCGTCACCGGGGACACACCAGCGCCTGCGTCCCGAGCCTCCCGAGACGAACTCTGAGTTCTGTATGTGTTTTCAAACCACACAGCTGAACGACTGACTCACAGACAGCTCACTCCTCAAAGTCTTGCAGTCCGCTCCCCCCTGGCGACACATCAGCCAATAGCATGACAGCTGGCTGGGATGCTCGAACACCGTTGGCTGGCTGGTTGAATTTGCACACACAAGCTCTTTTCATTTCCACATTATTTATTTTATCATGCCTTTCAGAAACATTGAGGGACTGAACAGTCCCCACTGGAACCTTCAAAGGATCAGGACACTGCGGAAGGATTGAACGGAGCAACACAGACATATGGGAGTTAGATTTGGACAAGACAGATGAATCTTTATTTTGAAGTTTTCTTTTATATTGTAATATAAAAACAGATACAGTTTATACACAGTGTGGAACAAAGAATCCTACAGCCTGTCCACATTTCTACTGTAATTGATCACTTAAGGAAAGAAAATTCTTTTTTAATTGATATTTTTTAACAGCATCACAAAATCCCCTTTAAATGACATTTATGTGTCAAATGTCCAAAAATCAAGCAGACTGGTTTCATATTTTCTGGAGAAGCTGTTAATTGATCAGTACAGGGTTTAAAACTAGCAAAAGATTATTAAATATGTATTTTTATTATTATTTAATTAATACAGCTGTACTTAAAGGGCACCTATTCTATCCCTTTTACAAGATGTACGATAAGTCTTTGGTGTCTCCAGAATGTGTCTGTAAATTTTGAGCTCAAAATACTCATCATATATTTTATTATACCCTTCGGAATCGAAATCCAATTTCAGTGTTTGAGTACATTGTAGCTGTTTTTGTAGCCTGTGGCTTTAAATTCAGCTGAGCTGCTTCTCCCCATTCAAACGTGTGTGTCTGCTTCTCCTACGTTAAGTCAGATAAACAGCAGTCAGTGACAGTAGCTATGTTTCCATTCAAAAATTAATAACATAATAACACATAACACATATACACAATAACACATAATTAACTTTATGTGCAAAACTGGATTACCACAAAAAAGATGTGCGAAGGAAGCAGCGTTTCCATCCATTAAATCAAAGAGAACAAAATCCTGATTAACTGGCTCCGAATATCTAAAGTAAAAACGGAATTTTCTGCGGTAGGAGAAGTTGCGTAAATCATTTCATTATTTAATAAATGACTTCAGCCTCAGAAGGCAATCCTGACACGCAGTGAACGCACGGTGGCGTTTGAAGACGTGAGGCACGGAGCACAGATACTCTTGATTCTGGAGGTCATTTATAATATAATAACACTAATACTGAAAAGGTTAAGGCGCTTTAGACATCCCAGGCTCATTGTGGAAATGTAGTCCCGCGGACATTTCTGGAGACCGCGAAATACGTCCCTGTGGGTACGTACGGCTGCAGTTTTTGTTTTTGCGAATTCGCGAGAGGCCGCTGTTGTGCGCTTTTTCGCATCTCAGACGCCTCTCGCGAGTGCAGTTCGCGCCCGCACTGTTCTCGCGTGAACACACCAGAGGCCGCTGTCTGACTGACCAGATGATTGACTGCGCGACCGGCCAATCGGCTGACCCGCCCTCCTCCTTCCCTGAACCCAACCAATTTTACCGATTGACCCGCCCGCCCGCTCACTTCCCTAAACCCGAGCAACAGTTTACAAAAGCTGTCCAAAAAAACAATGCACAAACAATAGGTGGATGGAAATGTAGCTAGAGACAGACACGGATGAAGCTAAAATACAGCGTATTAGTCAAAAAATACCAAGTAAGTTTATTTCATGAATTTCATGAATTTATTTCATGAATTTATTTATTATTCTTGACTTTATTCAAGCCTTTCTGAAATTATGAGTCTCACACAAAGGCTGTTTGCAGTACACACAAACATATACAAGCATGTTTCTTGCAGCATGCGGCTGTAGTGATTATAGCGGTTAAAATTTTATTGCAAACATGTTGTTTTAAAAAAAGTTTTAAATTTATAAAACTTATAAAAATCACAAAGAGCTGTAGCAAAAATTTTAATCCCAGTTTATTTGCAAAACAAAAAGCTTATTGGTCTTGTGTACACGTTATTATTGAAACATGGCACCTGTCAATCAATTTGGTGGGTGGGGAAACCACAACTGTATGTCACATTGCAGTGGGCTTCAAAATCGCTGGATCCTATTTTAACATTAGGAAATTTAAAAAAAGACTTGTTTTGTTTATATCACCCAATATGACAGTGGACACACTATAACTACATACAGTTCTGTCCAAATAGCTTACAAAAGATGATTTTCATTATAGGTGCTCTTTAGGTTTACTTGAATTGTGATGGATTTGTGTTATTGTGAATATCTGTCTCTAATTCCTTCAAGAAACATTCCATGAATCTGAAAAGAGTGCATGATTCTACTGGGCATTATGTCATCCGTCATGATTTAAAATAGCTGGATGCAAAAACCCTAATTTTTCCAAACACACTTGTATTTTTCCACTCAGCAGGCTGGCTCCTGTTCTCTGGCTGTATTTCATTACCTTCTTTAATGACAGAAGATGTCATGGTGCTGGTGGAGGGCTGATTCAATAAACTGGTTGATCGATAATGTGTGTCTAATGATGTTTGTGCGAGCTAACAAACTAGCATCAGCTTTATTTTGGTATATTACTAACCTTTATGTGCTCAGTTAGCTATTATCTTCAATAACATCCACTCACAACAGCCTTTGGGTGTTTCTGAGCTAAACTCCCAGTGTAAATGTGTTTGAAATCTTCATTCAGTGGAGAAGGGGTGTGTATGCACTGGATTGGTTTATGAATAATATTGGCTACTGGTGCATTTGGCAACCAAAAACATGGCAGACCAAACAATATTAAAAACACTGACCAAATAAGCTCACCCTCTCAGAATGTGCTGCCAATTATATGTGTATGAGTAATGAGTAAATAGAGATGTTAAATCGGGTCATCTTAGAGCTGAAATGTCTCAAATCTTGGTACTGTTGACAATTTAAACAATTAGTTTTATTACCTGAGGAATTTAGCTCACATTATCATAGCAAAACAACGTAGTTTTTAAAATAAAATCTTTATGTGGATTATAGCATGACACAAATGTACAGTATATCGTTCTATTTCTATGGTTTAAATAATTGTGTAGGGCAACATTCATTCATTTTCTTTTCAGCTTAGTCCCTTTTTTTAATCAGGGGTCGCCACAGCGGAATGAACCGCTAACTTATCCAGCATTTTTTATGCAGGGAATGCCCTTCCAGCTGCAACCCATCACTAGGAAACATCCATACATACTTATTCACACACATACACTACGGACAATTTCAAGTGGTGCTCGCTGCAGAGCCATTTGAGGAGAGCTGAGCTCCAGCGAGGGGGAGCTTAAGCTTGAGCTCCACCTTTTTTGCACTTCTTCTACGAGTGATGTCACTGGGGGTAGGGTTAGGGGTGGAGTTGGTGTACGCATTAAAACAGCTTACAGGAGGAGGAGCGACAGCTCATGCTTCCCCTCGCTGGAGCTCAGCTCTCCTCAAATGGCTCTGCAGCGAGCACCCTCTCGACAATTTAGCTTACCCAATTCACTTATAGTGCATGTCTTTAGACTTGGGTGGGAAACCAGAGCATCCGGAGGAAACCCACGCCAACACGGGGAGAACATGCAAACTCCACACAGAAATGCCATCTGACTGTAGGCCTAAAATCAAACATAAAAGCATGTAATCAGAATGCGAATATACATTGGCTATCGGGGTCGACCTTTTTATTAAATGTATCTATTTAAATCAAATGACATCAAATTTATTAATAAGACGTATTTAAGTTTTCAGTGTTTTGATTGTATTCTGACATACAGTAACCTCTGATTATTTCAGATTACTGTAGCCCAAACTATTCAGTTTAATTTTACATTACGGCTATATGTAAATACAAACACCTATTTAACAAAAAGAAATCGTCTCGTGAACACTTACGATATCCATCGCAAGATTGTTAAATCATTCCTGCAAAGACTGATTAGTCCGATTATGCATGAACCCCTATAATGGTATGAACCATTATAGGGGTGGTCAAATGTATATTGGTATAATCTATCACTTTAATTATTAATTTTATTATTTAAGAGACAGCTCAGGGAAAACTAGTTCTCACTATTTAAAGGCTGACCAGCCCATATATCTTGTTTTGACGTCCTTTAAGGGTGGTGGGTGTTCAATCCCCTCAAACTCCCCTGTAATTCGCACCCTGCATATAATGTAATGTTTCCTATGTGATAAAAGGTTGACTTGGCGGTTGCTGTAATATTAGCAGACCCTGGCCTCTGCTGGAAACTAGGAGTATTGCAGTTCGGTTGTGTGGTGGATTTCAAAGGTATATGATGGTGGGTAATGGTGAACCATTCAAAACATTACCTTCATCTGCTGTTTTGCTGGATAGTAATGCAATGTGACGATGTCCAACCTCGAAAGGCATTTAAATCAGCATTCAGGTGAGATGGCAATGCGTTTTCAAACTTCACACACACACACACTATCATGCTGGTTATTGTTATTTGCTAACTGTGCCTGTTTCTTTTTCTCGTTCTAACTTGATAATACGTGCACATGAAGATCCCGTGGTTGTTTATGCTTTCTGTCTTCTGTCAGACATTGTCAAACTTGCAACCAAGTGTGACAAGTGGCATTCATTCCAAATGTTCTGTCATAAAACAAATCAAAATTTCATGTTTTATTTTACAAAAAGTACACAAGTGAATGCTTGCCAGAAAGTGGGATTTTATTAATATATAAAAACATAGGTTAAATACAAAATACAAAGTGACTAGATTAGATACAAAGATTAAAGATTAAAGAAACAAGCATAAAAAGTCAAGGCACAGAATTTTTACACTGTGAATACATATATTCTCAGTAAAACATTATAAAAGTATAATTAGTGTGTGTATATATATATATATATATATATATATATATATATATATATATATATATATATATATATAAATACAAAATACTGCATCATCAT